GAGGGCTGGGGGGGGGTAGAGACTCCAGCCCGGGGGCAGCAGAGGGGCCCGGGCAACCGGGCGAGGAGGTGTTGGGGAGGTCAGCGGGGCGCGCGGGCTGAGCGCGCGGGTGAGATGTGGTCTATATTAGAGTATCTATATAAATAAACATTTCCCCTGCCCCCGCCCCCACCCCTTGCCTCTAGGATTGTACCCTCTCTGCCCCCGGCCCGGTCTCAGTCCCTTCCCGAGTCCCTAGTGCATGGAATAAAATGGTTATTAAATCCCCGTGTGTCCGGGCGCCAGGGGCCTGCCTTTATCTCGACGTCCACGCCCACTTTTCCTTCCCTTCTTATCTATATAAATAAACATTTCCCCTGCCCCCGCCCCCACCCCTTGCCTCTAGGATTGTACCCTCTCTGCCCCCGGCCCGGTCTCAGTCCCTTCCCGAGTCCCTAGTGCATGGAATAAAATGGTTATTAAATCCCCGTGTGTCCGGGCGCCAGGGGCCTGCCTTTATCTCGACGTCCACGCCCACTTTTCCTTCCCTTCTGTCTCCCATCCTCCGTCTGCTCTCTATGGCCCAATCTCCAGGGCGGACAGGTAAGTAAATAAGAGAACAGAGAAGAGACCGAGGTTGGAACTGAAACTAGGTAGGACATACAGAACTTGGGTAGGGGAAGAAAGGATGGGAGAATTAAGTAAAAGCTGGATGAGGAGGAAAGAAAGCATTGAAATAAAATCGACTCTGGTGGGATTCGAACCCACAACCTTTGAATCGCTCTTTCATCACTAGAAGTCCAATGCGCTATCCATTGCGCCACAGAGCCACCTGGCGAGCGGCGACGTCTCGCGACTTACGGGTACTAACATGGGAAAAGGGCTGGGAGGGGGCGTGTGCGTATGAAGAAAGTGGGCGGGGCATGCTAGGAGCGCGCGGTTTGGCTTTCAGAGGCAGGCGGGTAGAAGTAGCTGGCTTAAAGGAGTGGGAGTGAGGGCGCACATGGGTGGAAGAAACAGGGAGAGCAACTGAATATGAGCAAGCGAGCACAGGGCTCCGGCGGCTCGTTTGCGGGGTGCTTCCAGCTTAGGAGCACTCTATCCCCAGATGTGGCCCCACCCAAATAAACTTGTTTTGTTGTACATTTCTGTGTCTGCGCCTTCAGGATTATTCTGTCATTTGCTACTATGCGATCGGGAGTTTCGATAGTTCCGATTTTTTGTTTAAAAAGTGTGGAAAAGGCCACCCACCACTTCAATGCTTATTGTCTTTGGCTCACTTCTTCTGTCTAGTCTCTTAGGAGGACAACGGGGACAAGCCATTTCCACCCAGGTAGCGTGGCCGAGCGGTCTAAGGCGCTGGATTTAGGCTCCAGTCTCTCCGGAGGCGTGGGTTCGAATCCCACCGCTGCCAGCCCAGAGTTTTTCTCTAGGTGGGGGGTCATCTGGAATATCTTATTTTTATAAAGACTCCAGTAGTAGTTTCATTACCGTCTTCCTTGTTTGGTCTTCCAGGCAAATTCTAAGTGTGTATCCCAACCGCAAACTCGACGGAAAGTAATTCATAACTGGTTGGCGTTTATACGTGTCCTAAATCTCCCAAAAGTAGCCCGCATCCAATCTATTTAATTGATTCACTTGTACGTTCTTCTGACATTGTGTTACGTGTTCCGATTACAAAATGAGCGCGCATCCAACTATTTAATCGATTTACTGCAGGTTGCTCTGAGACTGGGCTACTGGTTCTCATCACCCAGTGTGAAAAACTCAAGAATACCGTTTTCCGCCTTAAGGTGTTAGAACTTTAGAGAATTTCTTCTGAAATCAGCTGAAGTATCTACCTAGTGCCTGGAACTGTGTTAAAAAGCAAAGGTTCCACCGAGATTTGAACTCGGATCGCTGGATTCAGAGTCCAGAGTGCTAACCATTACACCATGGAACCCCATAGCCTAACTTCGCTGCAGAGATTACATACATTACCGAATTTCCTACTCCGTCTTCATGTTTTCCCCTTTACCTTGTCATATACGGAAAACAAAACCTCCTGTTAGATATAGTGGTCATTGCTTATTCTGCACTTGAAATGCGAATCGAGATACCCCAGCTTCTAAATACACATTATATTTAGAAGGCTTTGTACCGAAAAGACATTTTCATTAATGATTTAAAAATATTGATTACATGTTAAAATAAACTTTTGGATTATTGAGTTAAGTAAAATGTATTATTAGAATTAATTTCACCTGTTCCTTTTTACTCTTTTTGATGTGGCTACTAGAAAATTAAAATTCATATATATGGTTTGCATATGTACTGCTCTAAAACTCTTACTTTCCTTTCACTGCATTCGTTCTACCTTCTGGAAACTCGGTTTCTAGTCTACTTAGCACCACTTCTTTTTTCAGCGCCACTTCTTTTTAATATCAGGTAATTACACTTTTGCTGTTATTTTTAGTTTTTAATTTGAGCAGGGCCATGTGTACATACATTAATTGTACCTCCAAACAAAATAGTAATCAGAAATGGCTTTAAAAGACTTTCGCCCGAACAGGGACTTGAACCCTGGACCCTCAGATTAAAAGTCTGATGCTCTACCGACTGAGCTATCCGGGCTCTCTGTCGGGAGGTTCTCTCCTATCCATAAGAGGATTTTTCATGCGAAAATACATGTTCAGAGCATAAGGATTATTGTGTACAGGAGCATGTGTGGCCAGAGGATTCTAGCACAGACGCAGAGGAAGCATGCTAAGTCTGGCTTCTGCTGATCGCGCTTTCCCCTTTGTATAACCCGGGCCAAGGCTGAGACGGGTCGTAGCGTCGCTGAAGCTGGAACGGTGCAGTGCCTTGACTGGCCACGCGGTGCCGCTGCGGACTGCTTCTTCCCTTGCGGAGAGGTTCTTTCTCCGCCCCTGAGAACTATACAGATTCGGGACACCGTGGACTCTGGCTCCCGCCCAGGGTTCGGCTGGCGAGGGCCGGCCTGGAGCAGAAAGAATGCCACATGGGGCCTTAAGATGCTGAGCGCCCCGACTTCACCTGGGACTCCCGAGCGACCTTATTTCAAGAGAGAGACTGAAGTCGAGCTTGCCAAAGCCTGGAGACAGAGGGCCGGCTGCGGGGGAACGACGGGTGTGGGGCTTGGCAGGAGACTGTTCTTGACCCCGCGCGGTGTGCTGAGGTTCGGGTGCGACTCCCTCTGGGGAGTCACGTGTGATTTACGGCCGAGCGCGACTCTCCTGTTACAGTGATTCACATGGATGATTCACATATATGTAAAAATGTAGGTGCCCTGTGCTCAGTTCTTATTGGGTCAGAAGAGGAAAGGGTCTTGGGAGAAGTTGGGGAGTGGGCGGACAAGCACTGGAGGGCATCAATCCAGAGCCTGGCCAGGGGGAGGCCAGCCTTCTACTCACACAGGTGTCACCTCCTCCTTGCCTCCACCTCAGCATCTGGTCCCTCCCTCCCCAGTGCGACCCAGGCTCTTGATATCCATCTGGGTGAGCCAGCCAGAGGGACCGGCTGTGCCAGAGCCAAGCAAACAGGTATTAGGATGCAAGATTGTGGGCGGGGAGAGGGAGCCTGAGCTGCCAGACGGAGCTTTTCTGAGAGGAGAGCCCAGGAGCACCCCAGAGAGAGCTGGGCCCTTCCTCGGGCCTATCCAGTGCCCCGTGTCCCCAGCCCTCTGTCCAGCAGCCCAGCCCTGCTCAGCTTGCTGCTCACCTCCTCCAGGCCGGCGGCTGTGGTCAGTGCGGCGGAGGGCATCCCTCCTTCCCTCCTATCATGGCAGTGTACCGCCTGTGTGTGACCACCGGTCCCTACCTGAAGGCCGGCACCCTGGACAACATCTCTGTGACGCTGGTGGGCACGTGTGGCGAAAGTCCTAAGCAGCGACTGGATCGAATGGGCAGGGACTTCACCCCCGGATCGGTGAGTACAAATGCAGCAGGGAGCGGTAATCCCTGAGGGGACCTGAAGGAGGTGAGCATCATTCCTTCTGAATTTCAACTCCTGTGGAACTGAGGGTGCGGGTCCTGACCTCCTCACTATCGCTATTGTGGTCCCTCTCTTTTCTGGGCACGCTGAACCCCATCCTGGGGAGACAGGAGGAAAGGAAGTGGGTGGGGAGTCAGATTTCTGTTTCTTCCAAGCCCCTCCCATAACAGACCGTGGGCTTTGGGCAAGCCTCTCCTGTCTCTGAGCATGGTTTCCTCTTTTCTGGAGGGGATCTGCTTTCCTTCAGCAGCCCCCAACCCCGGACAGTTTGCTGATGGCCTACACAAGGGTTCCGCGTGGGCCAAGGAGGCCAGCGAAATTCAGCCCTCACTGTTGGGCGCCATGCCCCCTCTTAGCTGGGTGAAAGGCTGCTTTTTCTAAGTTGTACAAAGGCACCGATGGGGTTAGCGGCAGCTCAGATTTATACGCTGGAATTGGCGTGCGTAGACGCACCTTGCAAGGTGCAAGGACAGTCTTGGAAGGTCCCTGCCTCTCACATGCTCACTCCCTTGGTCCCCTCAGGTACAAAAGTACAAGGTGCGCTGCTCAGCAGAGCTGGGCGAGCTCCTGCTGCTGCGTCTACACAAGGAGCGCTACGCTTTCTTCTGCAAGGACTCCTGGTACTGCAGTCGCATCTGTGTCACTGCCCCTGACGGTTCCATTTACCACTTCCCCTGCTATCAGTGGATTGAGGGTTACTGCACCATGGAGCTGCGACCCGGGACAGGTGCGCCAGAGGCAAGGGCTGTGCTGAACTGCAGGTGTCTGCAGTTGATGAGGGGTGGGGTTTCACAGAGCCCAGGGAGTAAGAAATAGGTTTGGGATTAAGAACTTTGAGCTCCCAAGTAATGGTTTCTGGGAAAAAATTAATTAGCCTCTAAAGCCTTGAAATGCAAGGGTTACTGGGCAGTAATTATTTGTAATACTTCTCCAGAGACACACACACTCATATAGACATTCTCTCTCTTTCTCTCTCTCTCAGCTGTTTGCGTTCCCCAGATTTCCTCTGTACTTTCCCAGAATTAATTCCTCTGAGCCCAGAGAGGATTTAACCGGTTACTTAGATTTTTAACAGGTGAAGCCCTGTTCAGACATTTTAACTGGGAAGCCCTCTTCCCTGCAAGAAGCTTTTCTAGTGTGGATAAAGTCTCTGTGAGGTGCTGTTAGGTTCCATGTTGAATTTGTAATTCCTTTCAGGGGTTCTGAGCTTGCCCCTCAGCCTCTGGAACTGTCTGATCTGGAGGGCCAACATTTGGGCTGCTCTGAGTGGTGAGATGGGTCTCAGGGACGAGAGGTGGAGCTTCTCGATCAAAACAAGGGCAGTGCACATGACCCCAAGGCTCACAGTGAGCTCTTCACAGACCTTGCTCTGAACCCCACCCATCATCACAGCACATATTTCTATAGCATCACGGAGTCATTTATCAAGTGCATCTTGTGTGCAAGATGCCTGACAATAAAAATGTACAATGTGCTGGGAATAAAAATATACACTGTGACTTCTGGCCTCTAGGAGTTTATAGTCTGGGCACAGCAGTGAAATGTGATGCCCTGTGAGGTCACGGGTGGGCTCCCTGAGTAAGCCGAGCTTGTGCGTGTCCCTGACCCAGGGCTGACCTAGCCCAGGGGTGGATCTTGGCGTGAAGATCCTGTTGAGGTGCTGTCTCTCTGTCTTTCTCATTCTGTCTTTCTCATTCACAGAAGAAATAAATAGATAAACAACAAAAAAAGTTCATAGTCTGGAAAGAAGACTATGCAAACAATTAGGAAGAATGTAATAATTTGTGGGTGAGGTTGTCTCAAGTCCATTTTACTGATGGGTATGGAGCACCCTTCAAGTGATTGACATGGATGTGGCTGGGAGATTTGGTTTAAGGGTTCATGGTTTCAGATGTTTGTGGGAGGAGGTTTAGTTAGAAAAGAGACTCCTATCAAGAGTAATTTTTATTCCCCACAGCAAGAACAATTTGTCAGGACTCCCTTCCCCTCCTTCTGGATCACAGGAAACGGGAACTCCAGGCCCGACAAGAATGCTACCGGTGAGGGTGGCCTCTTTTGATTTCTTTCCTCATCTTTATTCTGACCTCAACCTTAATCACATCATTCCAAACTCTGACCTCCACTCCAACCTTGGGAACTAAACTCCAATCAAGACCCTCATTTAAATCTAACGCCGCTCTAATCAGCCAGAGTTGCGATTGTACCCAAACCATCAATAACTGTACTCAGTCCCCAGCCATCCCTGGTATAGCCCGGATCTCAACATCAGAAATAACCCTAGTATTCACCAGTCTCAGTCCAGCCTCAGCCTCCCGCTGACCCCAAACTGGCCACGACCTTAATCTTGACACAAGCCCATCTCTAAACCACTGTGGGCATTAATGCCATCCTCAAGTGCTACCCTGACCTGAAGCCCAGCAACTTCATGGAGAAAATTCTAAGAGGATGGTTTCTGGAGTGGCTGTCTGAAGTCATGTCTCTAAAATTGAAGACAGTCTGTGTAACCTAAGCGTGGCCGGCCACTTCTGTCCTCTTTC